TATCTTTACCCTCATCCTACTAAACAGGCAATCTCAGGGTGCTCCCCTCAAAATGTACAATAATATAATGGAATCTTGGCATTTATAGAATAATTCCAGGTGGTTTTCAGTTTTAGGGTTCACGAGGGAAGACTGTGCCACAACGCACAAAGCTATTAAAACAAATAAAGCTAAAGAAGCCAAACATAAAGCATTTTTATTCTTGTAGACAGTGGCATACTCGGCAGCCAAATAAGCCTGATTGTATGCACATACCATCATGATCTGATATATGAAGGGATGAATCAAGAAGGTTTTTGTTACTTTGAATTTGTTAAAAATAAGACAGGCTGGGGAAGTACTGTGAATAAAATAGTACAAAGAAAATTACTTTTATGTTGACTGTGGTTCAGTTTCAGTGTCATGACTTTGTACAAGGTTTTCCTTGCAAGAAAATAAAGTCCAACAGATTTTGGATAAAAGACTAGAAGGCACAAAAATGAAATGTTGAAATATGTAGAGAATCATGAAGACTTTCCATGCTGGGGGAGAACCAAATCGGACCCTGCCAAAACTAAAGCCTCAACACGGTTGTAACTCGTTCATGCATGTATAAGCATTTTTTTTTTCTTCCTATTTTTTGGAGAAAAGGGCCTTAATTTTATTCGCCTTAATCCTCCAGCTTCTTTGAGGTGACTATCAGTAAGCTTCATTGTGTAATAAATAAACTAAGTGTTGGAGTCAGTTTAAACAACGGATGACAAATATCAGTCAACTGGGATTCCAGTCCCAGGTGGGATTTCACCTCAACTTGGATCCCACTTTTTTGCTTGCAACTTGAATCCCACCTCAACTGGGATCCCACCTCAACTGGGATCCCACAACAATCCTGCCTGGAAATGGGATCCCACTTCCATCCCGCTGGGATGGTAGTATCCCGGTGGGACAGACGTATCCCACCGGGATCTCACTGGGATCCCACTTTCATCCCAGTCACTTTTTTCGACGGTTCGCCATCTGCCCTGGGTCCCTCACCTGCTTCTGCTCGCCAAGCAGCATCTGCTCAAAAGCTGGGCCAGTCAACCCCCTCCAAGAGAGCAAGAGTGGGTTTGTCACGCTCCACTGCTTCTGCCACAGACGAGTCTCCAATATGACATGGCACTCAGCCTGCCGTTGCATTGGACGTTGTTGCCCCTTTTGGACTGCTTTGCCACTGGGGCTTTCGTCCGCCACTCCCATCTGCAGCTTTGGTCTGACGATGGACTCTGGCCATGAGGCCACTGATTCTGACCTGGGACAGTCTCGCCCGCAAGATAGACTCCAAGCCTCAGCCAGTGGCGACAGCACCCGACCCGGGTCCCCTCCGGCCGTCCCTCCTCCCTCACAAAGGGTGTTCTCGGAGACTGAAGTCGTCTCTGTTGTCCAGCCAGAACCGTACCCCAATGGGACCCAGCTCCAGATCATGTCCCGGATCGTGGTGACTCTGTTCATTTGGCGCTGCACTTGGGGCAAGTAAACTTACTCCTTCACCCCTTCTCATGATGCTCTGAAGTCCTCTGGTGGTCTCCGTAGTCTACACACCAGGGTGGCCCGAAGCCTCCCAGGCCAGGTACAACAACTGCCACACGCCATGAACTCAGGTGTGACTTGGAAGTTACAACGCCTCGGGCTGATGCCCCATTGTTTCCAGGGGTGGCCCATTCAGAGGTGCCACCTAACTATGCAGGCTCTTCACTGAGCACTTTTTGGGCTACAGAACTGCATCATCTCCGTGGTTTCAAATACCATTCATCGCCACGGATTCTGGCTACTTGCTAGGGCTTATCCAACCATGGTGCTTCCGTCATGGGTTTGAAATTCAAAGTCTATGGCACTCTGCCTACTCAAACAGTCACTACATATGCAAATTTCCCATGCGTGTATTATTCACTCGGTGAAAAAATTTGATCACTCGTGTGTACCCTGACCTGCCACAATGCAGCGCGGCCTTGCCACCATGATCAGCCTTCGTTCCTCAGGGCCATAATGTAACGGACTTGTCTTTTGAGGAATCTTTGATTTTATCAAGCTTCCGTTTTCGCTACACAGTTCTGTGTCGATTCGATCACCTTCCTTCCTTTGTAAATAAAATATAACCTGGATTTTATCTATTTATTGATAAAAGTGTTCTTTTTGTGTATATTTGTGTGTTCTTTCTTCAGTTTTCTTGTATGTGCACCCTGCAGGTGTTTACTGTCGGCACTACGAGGTTCATAGATAAATGTTGCTGTATGATTGTCTTGTTCTGAGTTTTAATATCCATGGTTATCAATTCCATGAAAAGTTTCTCTCTGCAAGCCATCAGTTTAAGCTTTCGCATTCAACAGTGTATTGGCCAAATTTGTTGATCAGGCTCACCCTGTATCGGTGATTTAAAGCCTAATACGTGTATTACATAATCATGTTCTACATGTTTCTTCAAGCCCTACAGTCTTAGTTATGTACATAAACTCTTGTATGCATGTGTAAATATATAGATTGGTCAGAAATGAGAAAAACACAGATGCCGTAGGTTTCCCATATGTCATACGTGTTACAGAGTACTGTTTTGTGTTTCTGCTATCTGTAAGTTAAATTCAGTCTTCTTTAATTGTTTAACAATGCACTGACATAGTTCCATTCCGTATTACGTTTCTCTATATCTTCAGCACATAGACATTCCAACCATCATTGAAGACCTTGCTCAGAAGCTAAAGAGACACTCCAGTCTGCAACATATCATTCCCATCTCAACAGCCAAAGTCCCTATTGTCAAGTTTTTTGATCAGCGTTTGCAGCTAGATGTTGATGTAAGCCTCTACAATTGCCTTGCACAGGCCAACACACAAATGTTGTATGTATACTCCAAGATTGATCCAAGAGTGAGACAGTTAGTCTACACAGCAAAAGTCTTTGTTAAGGTAACTCTAAACTTCAATTTTGTTAAGGGATACAGATTTTGTTAGGGATTTATACGTATGACATTCACAGCTGCAACAGGTAGTGTGATATCAGCAAGAAGCATGTATTATTGCCCTGATGGTGCAGTGGACAATCAACACATGGATAGTTCTCATAGACAGATTACTTACTGCAGAGGCTTTAATACCTTCAAAATATGTTATAATTTACCTGCACATTTTACTGTGATGTTGAGTTACATGTATGCAGGATTTTATTGTGTTCTGTTTGATAATGGACTGTGAGTAACATGCTACCTTGCATGGAACTCCATTTTGCAAATGTGGAAGAAGTCATAAAAGTACTGTAGAAATGCACTCGTGAAGATCAGAACTTACCTTGGATGGTTGATTTGAGCAGTTCGTTGAGGTATATAGTATACATACAATGTCAGTTTAGAGGGAGTTTATCACTATATACAGGGAGAAGATGAGGATTGTAACTGGTAAAATGTATCAGTAAGTCCATTTCTATGTCTCCCTTACGTGTTAAAACTTACATTTGTATAGTTCTCTAGCCTTAGGCTCCCATCTGGCAGTGAAGTATACGGCCCGGATAGTATCCTCAGCATGGAAGCCCTAAGGCGAGGCCCACATCTTATGTACATTCTCAGATGTCGGGTTCCACTGGCACCTTCCACATTTCACTCCACTTATTCATGGTTATAAAACCAGTTTTTGGTTCTTCTGAAAACAATTCTTTCAAGGTCCAAACTGTGTATGCTGATACAGTTTACCAATAGACTACCAGTCAATGATGTGTATACACCATTTTAAAGCTGATTATCGTCCGAAATGGTCCATGTGAACTGCTGTGTTCCATTTTTTTTTTACTTCCAAGGGACCGCAAAAGGTGACAGATTTGGATAAGTTCCATGAGAAATAAGGCCATCAAAGCAAAGTCCAAGTGGACCGACCTCTGTATGCAGTCTACATTTTGTAGGCGGAGACAAAACTTACGATGTACCAGATCCAACGATTTTCCCGTGGACAAGTGAGTGGGAGGAGGTTCATGTGTGCCTCATCAATGAGGCACACATGTCCCCACACCTTTGCCTATGTGCTTGGGATTTCCTGATGTGGTGCATCATGAACAACATATCAAATGGCACTTCACATTGCCAGGAAAGGTGACTGTCGTGGCAAGCACTCTCTAGGATGAAGATTATATGTCTTCACACGAACGATGGAAACACACATCTGCAGCATTTGGAGCTGAGTGTCTTTTGCGAGGGTCGCCTGCGATTTCATCGCAAGCTTTCACACTGTACAGTGCAGCACGTTAGCGAACGTTCCCGGTGTTGTAGCATTTACATTTGTATCACTGGTACTGCAATATTCTTTGATAGTCGAAGTATAGGGTACTGGTGATATTCCTGCCATATACATGTAGATGTGTGCTTTTTTTGACAAGTTTGCATGAATAGTTGTGTACGAACTTCGTGATAACAAAACATTATTGCCTTTTGGAAGCTGCCTTAACTACACTTCAGTCTGTCTTGTAGATTTACTAATTCAATTTTGTGACAATTTCAGGCATTTTTGTCTTGTTCATCAGACTTATGAATAGACATACATGTATCTGCAGTATGATTTTTCACTTTCTGATAGTAATAGCCTTGTTGCCAGCACTTTATAAACAGATTTCAAGCTCAGTCACTGGAAAAGCTGTCAAAAATCTTTTCTTTTTTTGGCATTCATGGCTCTGTAGATGAGATGCTATCTTCTTAGATCTGGTTCCCATGTATTGAATATAAAAGCACTGCATGGATGCATGTATGGGACTAGATAGCAACAGCACTATTCATGTATAACTAATGGCAGTATAAATTCGTGGATTACCATTTTTAAAGACTGCAACAGCAAAGGTGTGCATGAGCTATGGACTCCAATGCACACTACCCTCGTGAAAATCACAGCTTTGCATTCACAGGACCAATTGCAGTGAGCATTGCAGAGATTTTGCATCCATGCAAAATTTGGGAGGAGGTATGGATCTGAGTGACAATCACGCATGGATCCTTACAATTTGGTGACAGCCATGCAATTTCACATGACCTATATGTCTGTAATTGTGACACTGATGTGATTTTATTGTAAGGGAGCCCTGTTTTCAGTACTTGTACAAATAGGCCTTTTTTGACAAAATGGATATTACACCCCTCCGTAGTACAGAACAATTGTCAGAGGCTCGGTGGGCCTCACATAGCTCTGTTTTCATTGGCCTTCAATATTCACCTGCTGGTATATTGTGCTTGCAGTTCCAGTCCGAATGCATGGGTGACAGGGGCACTCTTAAAGCTTAAATGTGTTCCCACCAATCTCTCTCCTTCCAAAGGTTCTGAAGACAAGAGATTTACAACACTGCAAGGTAACCCTCAACACTCCACTCTGGCTTATTAGCCTTGGTTTCAGAGGATAACTAAATTCCTCACCCACCCACCCATATTACTGCGTCAGAAGGTAGATCTTTTGCTCTACCTCCCTCCACAGTTTTACTGCCAGAATCAGAGACAGTTCTCCTGATGTGTTGGCTATTGTTGAGTGATCCCTGTGAGTAGCAGAACTTTTGGCAACGGAAGCAAGCATTGCTGCCCAAAGTCATATAGCCTAAACAAGACATAAAACAGCCAACTAAGATGTCATTATAAATGGCACAGAGACAAGTCTGTTGATCCACCCACAACATCTGTAGGGCAGATCAGTAATTTGCTTATGGTATGGAACTGTTGTTTCAAAGTCATATCTAGGTTTCTCTCACGGATCAACAGTTTCAAACAATAACCTCTTTAACATCTCCATCAGGGTATGTTTATAAGGCCCTAAGTCAAAATAGAAACAGTTCATGAAGCAGAAAATGATTGCCCTTAATGCCCTTTCAAACCATTGCCCGATTCAACTGCAAGCGGGTAATGATTGCAAGGGAGCGTTTCCCGAAAGGGAGTTGGCTATGTGGTAAATCTCTTTGATGCATCGCACCATCTCCCCCACCTTGGTACAAAAGCCCTGACTCCCAGCTTACCATGAATGGTTATATGGAATTTCATGCTATTTATGGTGTTAATCGGGCAATGGTTTGAAAGGGCATTAAGGGCAATCATTTTCTGCTTCGTGAACTGTTTCTATTTTGACTTATGGCCTTATAAACATACCCTGATGGAGATGTTAAACTTGCAAAGTTATCTAGGACGGTGACAAGAAACAATTCCAATAGGTTCTGCGGATTCCATAGCAACGAAAGTCAAGTGTATACATTACTATTCCATGATATGTGGTGGCTGGCTTAAAAAGGAATGGAAATGATTGTAATACATGCGCTCATTACTGAGCCTATTTGAAAGTAATATTATTTGGGTGTGTCGTTTTGCACATATGATAGGCAAGCGAGTACTGCATGCATGTATAAAACTGAAACATACTTTCATGAACATTATTGATGCAACAATCACGGGACTTCAACATCAATCTAAAAATGTAAAATAAGAAAAGTCAATTAATGTTGGTATTTCAGGGCAGTGTGGCAAACTGAAGGAAAAAAAATCCACATCCATGTAAAGGGTAGTACAAACCCATCCCCAAACCCCCCAAAACATTGTTGACATATCAAACTGCTCTAATTACTCAACCAACAGACACAATGGAATGTAATCCTTAAAGCTCTCTATTTTAACAAAAAGCCGCCCAGGAGTAGTGTTCATTGAACCGTAAGCCATTTAGCTACTGACTCCATATCGTTGCCCGCTTTACTCTGAAGCGGGTAAAGAGCTTATCGTTTATCTGTCGTTTCCCGCTTCATGAACCGTTTCTATTTGACTAGCACCTAAGTCACCCACTATTGTAACAACTTGCCCGATCTAGGGACTTATGGTCATTGTTTGGGCCTTGACAAAGCTACCATAATGGGCCCCTTGCTAATGCCTCTCTGCAACACTTGACATTAAAAACCAGAAGACACAGTGAGTTGCATGTCCTTACTCTAGAATATGGTTATTAAGTAGGATGGGAACTACATTACAGCTAATCTGTTATAAGAAATTCCTGGCAAAGAATCAGGAACTATCTCTTCCATCTGAGATGACCGACTCTGGTGTCCAATCTAGGCCCTCAAGTGGTACATAGCCCAAACTGATACCCTGAGGTTCATTACGATGCCTTAAGTCTTATCCATGGGCTTCATGGGACACAATCTTTCAGTGGGTAGTTAGGACAATCAACTCTTTTTTACCAGACTGGCCTATACATACCAAGAATACTGTCCATGCTTCTGACACCAGCAGCAACTACATCATGGAATTTTTGAAAGTTGTTTTCTGCTGAAAATTTTATAGGCAGCTGCTTGGAAAATGTTTCAACCTTTGCTCGTGCAATCTGATGGAAGTTCTGCAATCAGAAGATGAAACAGGATGAGTAACTCTTACAGCTGCCATGGCATCTTATCCCAACTGCTAGGATGGGTTGACTGCCTCTAAAACAGTCAGTTAATTGGAGCTCCATAGTGGATAGGTTCCACATAATATACTTCTGGCAGTCTCACCCAAGCCCTCCTTACACAGATACGGTGCTTATCTATACAAATGTAGGGTTTAACATGTGAGGGAGTCCCAAAAGTAGACTCCCAAATCAGAAGTGATTTGGGAACCCAGAGGTGGACAGTACTTACCTGTTTAACCTCCAACCCTCCCTTCCTGCATAGGCCTTGGTTGGCAGGGATATGTAAGTACGGACAATAAGAAAAAAACGGGCCTGGGTAAAGGCTTTGGTGCTGAGGGTGCTGTATACTGTGGTATAATATACTCGTGGATGGGAGCCTGGGGCTAGAGAAAATATGCAAATGTAAAGTTTAAAATGTATCATCCTCCTATGAACTCCCGAATCACCTGTAATTTAGGGGATTTAAATAGGCTGCATTGTGAAAGGAGCAAATCTTTCTGTCCTCTTTGATTAACAAATTGAGAGTAAATTATGCCTGAAATTCAGAGTGCAACTAAAGTAATAACATTTCTTATTCTGCTAACTTCACAGAAGTGTGATATAGGAGATGCATCGAAAGGCAGTCTGTCATCCTATGCCTACACACTCATGATGATATTCTTCCTACAGCAGAGGGATCCACCTGTTCTCCCAGTATTACAGGAGGTATATGCGCTGCGATATTGGTATTTGCAAATGTAATTATTTTCCTGCTTTCTGAAGTTGATTTACCTGGGAAGTTTGCACATATTTCTGGAGATAAAACTTGCATACTATGAGTCAACTCAAGAAAAAACATGCATATTTGTTATGGCCTTGTGTGACCAAAACTTATGGCGTCAGTGTTGAACAGGGTGGTTCCACATGGTGGTTCTATTGGAGTTTAGATACATGCTTTTCATCCAGCTATATTTGTCGGCAAATGATTAAAGTTGTTGATAAAACTTGTCGGGGAGGGGGGTCTTTAGCCTTTAAGAGCATGGATAGGAAATGGACTCATACCAGTAAATATTTTTTGAAATGGTTTTCATAAATAGCTGTATTCAGGTGAAGAAAAACCTCAAAACATTGTGGAAGGCAGGAATGCGTGGTTCTTCAGCAACCTCAAGAAACTGGTAGGTAAAACATGAACATAAATGAAATCTAGCATGCTCATCAGGCACGATGTCAAAAAGATTTTAATTGGCTCGCCACTGCGCGCCGCACAGGGCCGACGATCAGCATGCTCCAGCTGGCTGACCCTCTACCTACTTAAGGATCATGCATAACAAAGGTACAGATTTGCATAATGCTTTCACAGGTGACTGCATTCTGGATGCTTGTTTGCAGCTGCAGCGTGATGACAGAATCACAGACACTCATCCAATGTCGGCAGTTTTCACTATTAAAGGCTTTCGCTTTCTATTGAAAAAAAAAGCACCTTTAAATTTTATCCACCGAAATCGTGGAGTTGTCATGCTGGAGTTGCCACTTTTGAAGGTTAGGTAGAAAAGAGACAAAACCAGTTAAATGACTAGAGGGCCCCAAATATATTCATTGAGTATTAGTTTTGGCCATGCTGAAATTAATTCCTCAACCTCAGAATACTTTTCTCAGGCTCGATTTTCTTTCTAGCCTTAGAATGTTTTTTCACACAAGAAACTCATAATATTTTTTTCAGACTCGGAACATTTTCCAAAGACTCAAAATCTCGGACCCAGTCATATCTAAAAAAAATCTCTGCCCTGGGAATATTTCTTCCCACCCCACGATATTTTTTCCTGCATCAGAACTTATATTTCATCAGGCTATCAATATTGTCCACAAGACTCGGAGCTTTCGCTGGACTCAGAATACTTTCTCAAGACTCAGAATATTTTATCCCAGCTCTCAAGAATATTTTACAGAGCTCAATACATGTACATGTATATTTTATCCTCCCTTTAGTTGTTTACCCAGCCACAGATTTTTTTCTCGGACTTAAAAAATATTTCACCAGACTCCCAATATTTTCTCAGGACTTGGAATATTTCTCCTGGTGTTAAGAATAATTTTCCTAGATTCAAAATATTGGATGCCAGACTCAATAATATTTTAACAGGACTTAAATTAATTATCCCCAGCCTTAGAGTATTTTCTGCCCAACAATTATCCCCATTTCCAAATTATTTTCACTTCACAGAAATATTTCACGAGACGCAATATTTTCTGGGAGGATTAATATTTTTGACTGATTGAATGTGCGGAACAAAAATAATCAGTACGCGGTGGGGTGAAAAAAAAAACCGTGTGATCCAGGTTTGGATAAAGAAATGCTGAGATGGGGAGGATTAATTTTTGTGCGGATTGAATGCCTGGAATAAAAACAGTATGTGGCAGGGCTAGTTTATTTCAGTTATTTTCCTCAAAGATTTAACTTTTTCAGGTTTATAAGAGTGGTTCCCAATATTTTCTGCCTTTACATGTCTTAGCCTGCCACATAAAGATCTGCTGTTCTTAAAGTACATGTTGAACCTTCCGCTAGAGAAGTAAATGTATAGTACCCCCCCTTGAACAAAGGCCCCTTTCAGCTACACTTGGTAGGGCGGCAGTGTTGGGAACAAACACGTTTCTCCCCCTCTGGTATGTATCAGAGTGCCGCCCACTACTTGAATTGCATTGTAGTCTGCCCAGTCAGTGATATTCTGACCAGCTTGTACAGTTTGTTTCATTCACTATTCATACACTGTGTTGGTTTTTGTTCTCTTCTGTTTTGTATTTTTTTTTTTAGTCTGTCAATGTGTTTTAATTATTTAGAACAAGTTTCTTGTTTTAGTCAGTTTGATTGGGTTTGATTCATTTATTACATTGCTGTAGTAAACCCTTTTGTTTTGGTTTGAAATTCTGACTTGCGTCCTTTGTTTTGTATTAATTCAATTTCTCGTGACTTCTCCCTTTGAAAATCCTTGCTTAGTTCTTTTTTGGTCGTGTGAGTTCCCCCATAACTGTGCCATTTTTCCAGGGTACAAGTACGTGCTGCTGTGGGGAAAAAATAGCACCACACATGATCCAGGTTTGGATATTAAAAGTAATGCTGAGATGGGGTGGACTTGATGGGGTTGAATGCACAGAATGAAAATAACAAGTACGCAGCGGGGCCTGGAAAAAAATTAAACCAAATTAAATGCTGTTACAGGAAGGAACATTTTTGTGGGTTGCCTGCCTGGTATCAATACGTGGTTGGGCAGGGAAAAAATAAAAACCACATGTGGTCCAGGTTTATAGATAAAAAGAAATGCAGAGACGGGCCTTGTCAATCAAAAGACCCAGCCACTAAAAAAGACAACAGAACCCATTACCTCGCAGAAATATACATTTTATTTGGTAAGTCGGTTGTCAGTCTTTGTTTAACATAAAAAGGTCTATGAGGAATTTGTTCGAAATAGAGTCTCGTTGTTAATCTTGTCGATCCTCTGTCCAAATCAAAAATTTACATTTCGGAAAAAGTTTGTAGTACATGTATCTCCTGCTCACAGGATACTGACCACATTCCACTTGCATTTGAAGTCTATTTCAGCTGAAAACAGACTGATTAATTTTCAGATCTGGATGTACAGAAATGACTGTACTCAGACCGTGAAATTCAATCCGACCTTTTGATCTGCTTCAATTTCAAAGACACAAGATACTTTTCTGTGTTCCCTTCCCACTGTCCCTTGCTTGGAACTTCCACAGGACTCGCTCTGTGGTCAAAATTGACAATGGACACCGGCGCACAGCGGCGGGCCTTGCGTGAGAGAGGAATTTCCCCGTTCATTCTGCTTGGTAACATAATCGTGAATTCACAATAGGGATATTTAATGAGCCGGAGACTGGTCTGGGTGCCATGCTGTGCCACTTGTAGAGGTTGGACAGGTGACTTGGAAAAATGCACCGTGAGGCGCAGCGGTGGCTCGCGGCACGCCAATTAAAATCTTTTTGACATTGTGCCTTGTCATATTCAGCACTTCCACACACATCCATTGCAAAAGTCCATAATAAGCCAGTTCAGTATTCCCACAGTGTATGCCCAAAATAAAGCATGTCTAAAGTCATTGGGACACACGTGAGATCTGTACCATCAGCTTGCCCTTAGGTGGGCTCATGAATGTGCCTTGTTCCCAAATGACCTTGCTTTCTGCAATACCCAACTGCTTCATTTGAGACAGTCCACAGTTGGTGACAACTTGTTCAGGAGTTTTAACAGTGAAACAAGCAAAGGAAAGATGGTGACAAGTGGATGTATTCTGTTTCATTTTACTGTTTAAAATGTTTGATATTACAGAAACATTTTTGGAGATGTGGCAACAAGGAATCTGTTGGAGAGTTGTGGCTAGGATTTCTGCGTTTCTTCACAGAAGAATTCAATATCAAAAAACACGTTGTGTGTATCCGACAGCATAAGCCACTCACACGTTTTGAGAAGATGTGGACCAGCTCTGCACGTGGGTATGCTATTGAAGATCCATTTGACTTGGATCACAATCTAGGCAGCGGAGTGTCCAGGAAGAGTAAGTTAAGTGTTATCTCCTTTAACCACTTGCTGCCGGGGGCAGTTATCAATGTTGATGATGCTGGTCTGGGATAATTATTTTTTTTTTCCATTTTTTCTGTTTTCAAAATTATTTAAAAATTCCTATCTTCATTTACTGGACACTAACAAACACATGAAGGACTGTCTGGTGCCCACTCTACCCTGACAGACAACATCTATTGACACTATTATTTCAACCAGGCCTGCCACCTTGTAAAAAGAGCCCAGATTTTGCGATGTTACGTAATATTCTTCTGTTCACAAACCTGGCTCAGTGCGCTGCTGACCTCTTTTCAATAGGGGCCAGATTAGCATGCAGCGGTGCTGTGTGGCTCATCGCTGCAGTGGTGAAGTGCTTTTGTCCCCAGTGGTAATCCGCTCACTCTAAATGCCCCAAATCCTGGTATACTGTTTCAAAACAAGGCTGGGTTATCTCTACATTTGAGAGTGAAAAATGTTGGTAATGCCCAGCAGCCTGGTCTTTTGTTCTGAATATGGTCTTTTGTTACAAGGCCCTGTTCCCTTTGTCCAAGTTCAGAGACCCTGGCCACGCATATAAAGCATACGTGATCCAGAATCCCTGGCAGGAAGTGGTTAAGGGGTACATTGATTAACCACTTGCTGCCGGGGAGCCCTGTGTCAAGCACCATGGGTTTATACGCAGAGCCGAGGTGCCCAAAATAGGACAAAAGATCTGGTCCCTTTAAAAAAAGACAGTACTGGGAACAAAAGACCTGCTGCTGGGAATTGTCATTTTTGTTGGGCTTGCATTTTTCGAAGGTAATCCGTCACTGTTTTGAAACAATATACCACTGTTTTGGGCATAGTGTGCCTACGGATTAGCACCGTGGACAAAAGTGCTCCAGGGCCCCATTGATGAGCGACAGCACGGCTGCATTCTAATCCAGCCGCATTTGAAAAGACGCCACTCACATTCACTGGGGACAAAGGAATTTATGCAACACCTCCCAATTCTTGGCTCTCTTTACAGGGCGGCAGGCCTGGCTGAGCTTAGAGTAGCCACCAAACAGTCTGTCATGTGGGTGTAAATGTCAATTAAATGAAATGATGAATTTATGAAGAATTTTGAGCCAGCTAATCTTGAAGCCTTGATTTGTCACAGCATGATTTCTGAAATTACAGCTAACTTTTCTGAGAGCAGCAAAGCGTTGATATAAAACCTTCACCTGTTATAAGATCTAAATAGATCTAAGGCATATGCAGATTCATATTTTGTTTAGAAATTTAGGGTTGATAGCTAACTGTATATGTACCGGGCTTGGGGTCATACAGGTTTTGTGTCCAATTAGGTTAAAGGGCCCCATTAAAAGTGAGATTTAATCCTAAAAATGATTGTCCAATATTTTCCTCCACAACAGTATCCTCACACCCACTCTCCCCTGCATTTCCATTTTTAAAATGCTGGTGCTTTCGATTCCTTAAAAAAAGGAGGGGGGATATGTAGGATGTTTCATTATTAACATGGCAGGTAGGTGAAATGTTTGGGAGAATCATGCGTTGATGATAGAAGCATGAAATTGGGAGCACAGCTAGAGTGGGCCCCAGGAAATATATTTTGGCTATAGGGCCATAACAGATTTTGAATAATGATTACTAATGTCACAATTATGTATAGATGTAGGCTGTCAGCTTCTCTGCTGTTACAATATATATTGTTCCATGGAGTGGGTGGTTTGTGAAAAAGCAAGGGTGGAAGCTATTATGAGGACTGCCATATTGAATTCCTGAAAAAAGTCACAAAATACAGGAGCCTTCAGTGGCTGCACTTTACAGTAGAGTCTGGACATCAATTTTCAAAATTATGATGGGTTTCACAACTGGTTTTTGGGATGATCATTTCATTAGAAATATCTTCTAAAGTCAATGGTTAACACCCCAAAATTGAAAAGAAAACAGTAAAAATGAGGAAATGAGCTTTGATTTTATGTCTCTATTACCCAAAAAGCTTGTGGGCATTTCCCTTGATTTTTGACGTGATGGTATTTACATGTATCACTGTTGTCTTTGGCAGCTGATTCACTGGTCTGCAACCATGTAGTATTTTTGGGAGTTTTAATAACACTAATATGTGCAGCTTGTTAATGTACAATAAAACAAGTAAATTCAGGTGGATTGATACCGTTACCATGTGACTTAGAGAGAAGTTTTCACTTTGTTGAAAAATAGCAAGAAAGACCAGTCTTTGCAGTCAAAGTTCATGGACTAGCCTGTTAATGTTAGTTTGTTGGAGAGTTTTAAGAAGATTTCTGCTTTGAAAACGGGTATTTATGAGGGGAAGAAAAGGAGTTTGTATCAAATTTCAATAGGGTCAAGCACTCCTAAGTTTAAGGTATACAGTGGAGTGTCGCTATACCGAACACCACTATAGCAAACATTCGGCTGCACCGAACATCGTCCTTTGCTCCCAGTAGTTTGTGCACAAAACCTACCGAACATTATGCAGTTGCAAATCAACCGAAATTCATCACAGCATGTTTCAGAGATCGATCCTGAGCGGTAGCTTCACAATTTTTAGGATTAACTAAATGTCAATTTTGTAACTAAAGATTTAATAAAAACACAAATAATTAACAGATAATTTTTCTAGAAACCTCAAACATGAATACAACAGCAAAACATCATGAAAACAGCAAATCGTAGTATCACAAGAGGGTGCACTCCAGTTAGACAAAGAGGGTGCTATTCAACATGGCAACGAGAGGTTAGGCAGTTTATTTCACTGTACTGAACGACCGGTGTACCGAACACTTAGCGTGGACCCCGTCGTTGTCGTTATAGCCACATTCCACTGTATTCATTGTTTGTTGGAGAATAAAAGCTTCTTTGAGCTAGGATAAATTTATAGATTGCTTCTATACTGGCTTTAAGCAAATTATACATACTAGTAGGGGTACCATTGTATGCCCATGGGATCAAACTGCCTGGAGTTTAAATTCTTTCTCTTTTGAAAAATACACATTTAGGGAGTAAAACCTAGTTTTTTTTTTTTTTTGAGAGTGGTTGAAGAAACCTTGCTGGTGGACAGAGTGGACAGAAGAGTATCTTCAAAAATACTTGAGTTTGTAAACCCCCATAACCACAAGTTAAAAATTTAATGTCTTTGTGTCTTTCCAAAAGTTTGCAAAGAAGCAGCAGAGGAAACATGTTTTGGGGGAAGGTGATTTCTAGTTGTGGAGATCTGACTCAACCCATTCCCAAATGTATAGACTATATTCCACTTTCAGTTGTCAAGTTACAGAACACTACATGTACTGTGATACCGGTCATGTGCTTGAGGAATGAAGCACAACACTGAAGCAGAATAGCCAGTAAATTACACTGGATAATATCTCTATATGTACATGTACAAACTGCCGACACAAAGAATGAATAGCATCGAGAGGGCACTTTGGATAGCGAAACCAACTCGAGAACATGCACGCTGTCTTCTGAAACTTATAATATACCAAAACATACTTGGATTCAATGAAAAGTTCCTCAGACAGAAACTAGGTGTGGCCCTGGGCAACAAATGTAGCCTAGGAATAGAGTTATATGATCTAACCCTGTTCAAATATGAGAGAGACATCATCCTCCCAAACATTTTTTAAATTGTGAGTTGCATGAGATACAGGGACGATGTATTGATTACTAAAAGGAGATGCCTAGGAACTTAGCCAGACACATAACAAAATTCTTCCAACCCTGAAGTTTATTTCTGAAATCTCTACCAAATCGCCTTTCTTGACTTCATCATCTACAAGGGTGAACAGTTCCAAAAAATGGAACTGAATGCCCAAGTCTCTGCTAAAAACTGCCACATTTCAATGTCTGGCTCAATGTCTGGCTCATTCAGCCAAGTCTAAATTGGTATTTGGTGGGTTGATTAATGGAGAAACAATGAGGTACTACCACATTTTTACATGTGTAAATAACTTTGAGGAAAAGGTTTTCAAAAATGTAGTTGCTAAGAAGAATAAACATGAAACATCATGACATCACTCTTTGTTTACATGTGTGCTTTCCTATGGACTTGATGGATTATTTCCTATTCTCGATGCCATAGGAAGACATGTAAACAAAGGGTGACGTCATTATGTTACAAGTCTGTTAATCCTTCCCAATGATGTTGTACTCTAGGCATGTTAACCACTTGCTGCTGGGTGCTTTTAAAAATGCAGTGCGCACAGAGAGATTTTCAAGATTTTAAGTTTCTTAAAATTCTTTAAAAATTAATTTTATTTTAAAATTCAGACTGAAGGTCTTGTGTTGGTCTTTGTGTTGTCTTGTGATGGTCTTAACTAGTCTCGGCTGCAACACTGGTATTACAAGCAGAATTTGAAACCAAAAACTTTTGTTCAGATAATATGTTGAGAGGAATGTTAAAAACAGAGCAATTAAATAAAATTGTAAGAAATCAGTTTGTGACTTCATCATGTTGAAATCCTAAGTTTCATCTTTAACACATTGGTTTGTGTCTGAACCAAGATTTACCCAGATAAGATTCTTGAGATAGAGGCCTGCAAAGAATTCAACTTTTAGGGTTTGTCATATGAAAAGTGATGACATCATCATGACATCATGCTTCAAGGACTGTGTTTGCTCTTAGGTCTTTTCCTTAGGGGAGTTTCATGAAAAACTTAAGAGTATTGTTTCAGATAGGTCTGCAAACTGTCAGTGTGTTATTATTTTCTTTTTCAGTGACAACGTTTATTTCGCAAGTGTTTATTAATGCAAGGGAGCGTTTTGGTATCCCAAATAGAACCGTGAGCTCCAGAAATGACTTCATACATGTAAGTATCCTTTGACATGAGCATTCATCCTTAGCAATATTACTCAACTATTCAATACTATATGGATTTCAATATTGCCAATCTTTATTGTTGGTCATGTCAAATTAGTGTAAGTTTAGGCATTGAGAATTTCTATAAAAACACCAAAGCGGTGTCTAGGACTTTATAAACAGTGCTATAACAAATATCACTATACTCAGCATTGGGAAATATGGAGCATTCTCCTTGGATCTACAAGTCCCCCCACTCGTATGAAACATTAAAATGTTTACTTAGAACTTCTGATAATGACTTGAAATCTAAGGTTAAATATGTTTTTCAGGGGGTTTCGACCAACATGTCATCCACATCATGGGTACATACAAATAGAGTAGGGATGGACAATAACTCAATAGGACAATATTGGAATCAGCTACTTTTTGAAAGAGTACCAAATAAAAAAAGATTTTCCAACCCAGAGTTTGGTTGGAAACTTTGGTTTTCCCAAAAAACTTTGTAGATTCCCATCAACTGATTAAAACTAAACTCATTTTGCTGCAATGAAGTGAGGAGTCAAAACCCAGAGCTGAACCTGTGAAGATTTCAAAAACATTGAATACAACCATTTAAACATCTATCAACAAAGTTGATGCTCCAAGTCCAGAGATTCCTGAGTTTCAGTTTTCAAATGGAGCGCTTCAGGTTCTCTTAGTGAATTTCTAAGTAGTCTTCCATCTTATGCAGTGTCCATAGACCACTAGCAGAAAGCATCCTCGCAGCATGATGCTTTTACCACCGTGCTTTAATATGGGTATGGTGTTCTTCAGTTTGAAGGTCTTTACCTTCTCTTGCCAAATGTGCTACTGGTCAATTGTAACTGAAACTTTCAACTTGATTCTATCAGACCAGTGGACACTCCGCCAGATGCCTCTGTCTTTTTCCTTGTTTTATCTTGCATATTTTGACCTAGTTTGGCAGTAACATTTTTGAGTGGCTTTGTTTGTGCTCTGCAGGCTCTTAGCCCATTTCAGTGCAAGACTCTGGAAAGTGGACAATGACACTTTCATGCCCAAAGCTTCTTATTCTTGGCATAGGTGTTCTGACCAATCTTAAAAGGTAGTTGGACATCGCTACATGTACTGCCTGTATTTCTGCACAATCATATGTACAGTACCATGCTACTTCTAGTCGCCTGTATGACCCCTGGAGAATCCCTGACTTGTGTAACTGAATAAGGCTCATCCTCAGGTCTTAAACATTCCTTTCCTTAACAGCAGCCATGAGTGGCTGTTGCTTCGATGCCCCAATGCACTGCCCACAGTGTCCCTTGAGAAAAATCAAATTTCATGGCTTAGTTGGCAGAAATGTTCTTCGCATAGTTATGGATGTTCATTTAAATGATGACGACATCTCCCCCAGTTGGATAGAGAAAAAAAAAATGGTAAAGATGGTACGAGCGCCTCTGATGACTCCTCTGGTGGCTGCTACGTAGCCCAAACTCCGAAGCGCAGTGCCTTCCACAGGTGGGACAAGGGACACCATCCCTGGAGAAAGCCCCTGGTACGGTCTCACATGGCGTTGGTATCGTTGTTCCTCACGTACGCGATTGTGTGTAGCCTCAAAGCGATCCACAGCCTCATGACTTGCAGTCCGACACGTGTTCCAGTCCGCGGCCAGCTGCTCCAGCTGGGAAGGTTGAACCCCACACTTCTTCAGGGTGGCCTTGAGATGGTTCTTAAACCTTTTCTTCTGACCTCCAGCGCTGCCTTGACCAGTAGAAAGCTCACCATAGAAAAGTGTGTGGGGGAGTCTGTCCTCAGGCATCCGGTAGACATGTCCGTCGAACGGAATTGCCGTTGAATAATGAGGGCCTCGACACTGACACAGCCTGCTGATTGGAGGATGGAGACGTGTGGAACACGATCTGCCCAGGTCAGCCCGAGAATACGCTGAAGACAGCGAATATGAAAAGCCTCAAGACATCTGATGTGGGCTCTGTAGATGGTCCAGGCTTCACAGCCATAGAGCAAGGTGGAGATGCAGATAGCCTTATAAACAGCAACCATTGTAGAGATGGTAATACCCCGGTTGAGAAACACTTGGTGTGACAGCCGGCCAAAGGCACTGGAAGCTTTCCTTAACCTGTTTTGGATCTTCCCATCAATACTGCAGGATGAGCTCAAGATGCTTCCAAGGTAGACAAAGCTGTCAACTTTGTTGATGTTCTCCAACCTAACCCGAAATTGCATATCAGGAGGGAGGTCTTCACAGGACACACGCTGGTGGACCACTTTCATCTTCCTGGCATTGATGACGGGTCCAGAGCTGGCGTATGTGTCGGCCACGGTGTCAAGGATCCTTTAAACCTGCTGCTGAGTGGCTGACAAAGGCGGCATCATAAGCATATTGCAGATCAAAGATTGTCTTAGACCAAGTCATAGTCTTGGCTAGCAGTCGTCGCAAGTTATAGAGGCTACCATCGACCCGATACTGGAAGGTTATACCACCATTGAGATGGAGCTGGTGTCGGGAAAGGAGAGTCACCGCAACCAGGTAGATGTTGAAAAGGACTGGTGCAAAGACACACCCCTGTTTCACTCCAACTTTGACCTCAAAGGGCTCCAATTGCAGGCCCCCAACAACCACACAAGCAAATATTCCAGTGTGAAACTCCTGAAGGATCTTTAGAAACCTTGGGGGACATCCGCATTTGGTGAGGATGGTCCAGAGAAGGCTCCTGTTGATGGTGTCAAAAGCCTTGGTGAGATCAACGAAGGCAGCAAAGAGTTCATGGTGTTGCTCCCTGCACTTCTCTTGCAGCTAATGAGCCACAAATATCATATCTGTTTTGCTCATATCCTTACGAAAACCACACTGTGATTTAGGGAGGACTATGTTGGAGATGGAGGAAAGGAGGCGGGAAAGCATAACCCTTGCCAGGATCTTTCCAGCAACAGCCAGGAGAGAGATGCCATGGTAGTTGCCGCAGATGGATTTGTCCCCCTTCCTCTTGTACACGGTGACAATATTAGCATCCTTTCACTGCTGTGGGAGGGACTCAGCTGCCCAGGCGTCACAGATGAAGCAGTGCAGACGATGAAGGAGCACGGGTCTGCCGTACCTGAAGATCTCGCCAAGGATCCTATCTGGTCCAGCCGCCTTGTTGTTTTTAAGGCACTTAGCAGCCTGATGGATATCGGCAAAGGATGGAGGATTGTCCAGCTGAGTGATGGGTGACAGGGTGCTTGGGTCAATGGGGTTAACAAGGTTGAGGAGCTCGCTAAAATGCTCAGCCCAGCGGGCAAGAATGCCTTGGCAGTCCTTGATGAGGGTAGAGTTCACAGCAGATTTCACAGGAACTGAAGTGCCTCTGATCGGTCCGTGGATGGTCTTAACTGTGTCATAGAAACCCTGAAGATCATGGGTGTCAGCAAGGCCTTGGATCTCATAGGCCTTGTTCCTCAAGTCATTTTTCATCTGCCAGAGACGGGTCTGTGCAACGGAGCGAAGCTCAACAAAATAGGCTTGGAGGGTGCTAGAGGATGGGTTATTGATAACGGCATCTTGTGCAGCATTCTTCCTCTTCAGGAGGTTGTGAATCTCTGTAGAGGTGTCATCAAACCAATCCTGATGACGTCTGCGAGTGTGACCCAAGACCCCAGTGGCGACCTCAAGGATTGTGGACGACAGAGTGCTCCATTGGTCTGTGAAGGATCCATCAGTGAAAGCGGTGGACTCGCTAGCTGCATTTATGGGCCTGGAAGCAGCACAAGACACGGAGAGAGAAGTTGAGGTAGAAACAGTCAGAGCACTGGCCAAACTCTCCTGCAATTGGTGCTTCTTGCTGAGATCCCGTAGGGCACCACAGTTAAGCCCTCGTCTGCCAGCTCTCTTTCGAAAAGGAGGACAAATCCTGAGCTGAAAAATGGAGCGAACTAGACGGTGGTCAGTCCAGCACTCGGCACCTTGAAGAACTCTGGTGATGGAGACGTCACTAAGATCACAGCGCCGGACTATAACATAGTCGATTAGGCGCCAGTGCTTGGAGCGGGGATGCATCCATGTGGTTTTAACCACTA